TTTTCTGTTTGGTTCAATGGTAGCACTCCAGTTTTGTTTCTACATTTGTGTGGATTTTGTCTAAACTCCAGTAGGAAAATCATGTTTTGCAACTTTTTCCTCAGGAAAACATTAAGAGTTGGTTAAGGGAGTTAAGTTTACAAGAGTTTATAATTACTTGAATCTTTGTAAGGTCCTATTTAGTACAGATGTCTATTAAAACAAAAATGTGTTTATATTTGATAAATACTTAGCATGCTGCTTCTCCAAGAGCAAGGCTGGAAAGGGACAAACTCTATACCATTGATTTTAGATAGCGTAAGAAAGGAGCAAAACCAAGGAAAACTGACTATTACTGATATTGCAGTGGAATATAAAACAAACATCCAGTCAAACAAAAAAAGGAAAAGTGAAAGTGCATTTTTACTGCACTTTCACCACTGATCACTTTCAATACTGGCCACTATTTTTAATATCCAATCTACTTTCAACAAAATTAAGAACCAAAAAGAACACAAACATCTCTTTGTTTAGCACTCAATACTTTTTCATTTGAAGAAAAAGTCATCCTGAGATAAAAGAGCATGTTGCAGGACCTCTGCCTGGAGCTTCCAGCTAAGTACTCCTGGGTAGAGGAGGGACCAGCATCTACTAGGATACTGACTTTGCTGGGACCTCTGAGGCTTGTCTAAGGGTATTAAAATCAGGTATAAAACAAGAACAAATGCCCATATTATAGCCAAAACTGTGTCCTGCCTGCAAAACATACAGGACACAACCTTTCCTCTGCATTCTGCAAAAACTAGCTGTTTTTGCAGGCTCAGACATCAGGGAGAGTAACTACATTCCATAAGAACATAGCCAGCAGGAGCTCTGATTTTCAGCACAAAGCACACAGAGTGATTCTGCACCCTCTGTACCATAAATGTGACCACAACTGCAGAAACTGATCGTCAGTATCCTGCCTTAAAACTTAAGAAAGGTGGATATAACTGAGTAAATAACTTATGTCCATCTTCTCTCTTTTCAGTATTCATCCTCAATCTGAAAAGATCAGCTGAGAGGTGCAGAAGCTCTGTATGTCTGGGTGAATTGCATGCATGGGATCCCCTTTTTTGGCAGCAAGCAAACAGTTACATGCACTCCAGGGTGTCTTTGCTTACAGTTTTCTTATTTTTTCAGTGTTATGTTCTATACTCTCACATATGACCATGCAAGACCATCATTAACCTATATATCCTTTTTTCAAGCTGATAGGATGGTTCCTGATAGCCAGCATCATGACTGTGTTGCTGATTTCAACATGTGTCACCCGCTGTTGCTCCCCAGTCAGCTATCTTCAGCTCAAGTTCTGGAAAATTTACTCAAAAAAAGAACAGGAACTCTTTGAGATCAAAGCCAAAGAGCATGCAACCAAGCTAGCAGAAAGAAATACATATTGCTTTTTTGAAGCCACTGACCCAGCACCATTTCATACTCCCAGCAATGAAGACTGGCAGAAGATTTCAACCGTGTATACCTTTAATTCACAAGAGCAGTATTACAGCATGATACACAAGTACGTGAGCACCAACAGAGGCAACAGTGCCAAATTCAATGAAGAAGGTCAGGATCTCACTGTTTTAGCATTTGTGGATGAAACCCACACAAGTGTGTCAGGGTTGTAATGAAACAAATCCTTTGCAATGTTGGCAGTCTTTTTAGCCCTACTGACATAAGAAGAGTCTTATTCTCTGCTCTATGCAAACTGAAAGTGAAAGCTGATAGTAGTAATCATTAGATTTGCTTTTAAATACATTTTAATACTTTTGCTTTAGTACATTTAAATGGGAGTTTTCTTATGTTGTTGTCCATTAAGAGTTGTATGTAAAATAATCAGAATCCACAAAGATGTCACCACATACTATGTCAAATTATTGCCGATATCTTAAAAGCACTTGGCAGGTGGAGTGAAAATACCAAACCTTATCAAAGAGACAAAAAAAGGAGTGAAAGATTTGATCATAAATTCAGCTTAGTTTATTAGCTCTCTCTTTACATTGAAGCCTTCAGAGAAGCTTAGAGCAAGCTGTAGATTAATGAGGGGTTAGGCTCATGTATAACATGGCAGTGTATGTGAAGTTTCTATATTAACAAATATTAAAAGCACATTCATACAAGGACATTAAAAATCTGCAATCCATATTAGGAAGTAGTAATATTCTTAGCAAAGAACATCTTATTGTAAGAAATAAAGATACAAGTTTTGAATGAAGAATAATAAAGTTCACTTTTCTTCTGAAAAGCTGTTGTTTAAGAGAGCATTTTAGACATGTAAGTCAGATTTTTGGTCTGGGCTGTCCATTTACTTCTCCCAGAAATTCTCTCTTTCTACACAATAAACTCAGAAATTATTCAGACAGACAGGAATCCCAAGAAGTTATTTGCAAGGAAGGAAGAAGGGGAGAGTCTATTTTAACTAGCTAAATATAACAAGCTTGGAAGCTTCTTTCTCACTATTAACTAAAAATGTAACACATGAAGGCAAAACAGGATTTAACTCTGCTTGTAGAAAATAATTTTTAAAAAATATTCATCACAGTCACTTACTTGATCAGTGCTCTTTTCCTTCCAAGAAACTTGGTGATTTTAGAGTAACAATGCAGGCTGGGGGCTGACCTCTTAGAGAGCATCCCTGTAGAGAGGGACCTGGGTGTCTCAGTGGATGACAAGCTACGAGCCACAGTGCTCTGGTAGCCAGGAGAGCCACTGGTGTCCTGTAGTGCATTGAGAAGAGCAGGGCCAGCAGGTGAGAGATGCTCCTCCCCCTCTACTCAGCCCTGGTGAGGTCACATCTGAAGTGCTGCGTCCAGTTCTGGGCTCCTCAGTACAAGAAGGACAAGGAGCTACTAGAGAGGGCCCAGCAGAAGGGCCACAAAGGTGATTTGGGTCTGGAGCATCTCTTATGAGGGGAGACTGCAGGAGCTGGGCCTGTTTAGTCCAGAGAAGAGAGGATTGAGAGAGGACCTCATCAACACATCTCAAAGGTGGGTGGCAAGAAGAGGGTGCCAGACCCTTTTCAGTGGTGCCCAGCAACAGGAGGACAAGCAATGGCTAGAGTCTAAAGCACAAGAAGCTTCACCTCAACATGAGAATAACTTCTTTACATTGAGGGTGGCAGAGTTTCCCAGGGAGATCATGGAGTCTCCCTCTCTGGAGACAATCCAGACCAACCTAGATTTTTTCCTGTGTCAGCTGCTCTAGGTGACCCTGCCTTGTCAGAGGGTTAGACTAGATGACCTTCAAAGGTCTATTCCAACCCTAACAGTTCTGTAATTCTGTAAGAAAACAAGGACAGTATAGGTTATTCACTTTCAAGAAAATAATAATTTTTAAAAAGAGAATGTTTGGATAGTGTTGCTAGAAAAAGTAAAAATGGCCATTGCTAATAAACAGCCTTTATTGTGGTTGACCACATGTACATCTCAACTATCAAAAACCTGAAGACTCTTGCACGGGTAGTGAAATTCCACAATACATTTCAGCTCTAATTTAAAAAACATTAATAATAATAAAAAAAAAAAGGGAAATTTGTTACTGGTTATAACATATTGTTACATATAAATGTTGGCACTTCTCAGGTAATAGGAGGTAATAGCAGTTGGGCTGAAACCAAAGCAGAGTAACAAAAATATAGTTTTTGTTCCCTACAAAACTGCACACTTAAAGCTCCATTCTGCTATGCCACCACTGTACCACACCATTAAGACAAACAAAGGGACAGAGATTATCATGAGGACCATATAGGTCTTGTGAGAATGAACCCAAAGTAAGAGATGCCCCCACTTAGCATGATGAAGATGTAGACTGAGGGGAAAATAGGAGAAGGTACAAAACACTGATAAAATCAGAGTTAATCTGGGACTACACTGAATTTAGTTGTTGGTATTCCAGTTTAAAACAAGCATTTTGGGGAGAAGAGGGTAAGCTGGCTTTGTTGGTAGAGTGCTGTGCTAGGACCTGAGGTTCTGTCCGACCCTTATCCAGACATCTTGCGTTGCAACAAACAACTTTAAACCTTTCCTATAACTTGGGTTTCTCTGAGGCTGCTCCTTCTCTATTTCCCAGTCATGTTGTGGTAACAAGTCCACTGCCAAGAGGAAGATGTTCAACAGCTGGTGGCGAAGGCCAGGTAAGAACAGAAAACACAGCTACCAAACCAGTTGTGTGGCAATCTCAGTATTTTAATTCAAGTTTCCTTAGGCAGGTACAGATCAACAATGGCGACACGTAAATAAATACATAATGCTTTGTTCAGTTTGGACACAAGATCAGTGCTCTTGGAGAGAAGGCTGACATGAAAAGGCCCATAGCTTGGTGAGACACATGCATTGCTGCACTTGTCAGAGTGCTGCAGCCTGGTGCGTGCACAGGACTGAACAGGAGCGCCAGCAAAACTGCATGTGGGGCCTGAAGAGCTGGAAAGAACACAACCAGCATCAGTGAAGACCCATCCCTCCCTGGTTTCAAAGCCAGCAGGACGTCCAGTATGGAGGACAATGAATGGCAAAGCATTACACATCAAAACATGCACCTGTAAGCGAGACACTGCATACATCAATCACAGCAGAGGAATTCTTTCTGGATAACCACACACAGCCAGGGAAATAAAGTGACTCTAGCAGCCATGCTTTGAAACATTACTGACAAAATGGGGAGAGGTCATCAGCTTTACCTGAAAACAGTTGGTCTACAGATGAATATTTACCAAACACTAAATACTGAGATAAAACTTTAATTAAGCTCAAGAGCCTGGGTATGTGAGAAGGAAGGGCAGATCTTTTCTATCTTTTTAACTGATATCTGTATCATAACAATTAACATTGCTCTCCCCTGCCCTGCCCCTCCTCTTTGCCCAGCTCTCTTCACCTTTTAACCAGGTGACTAGTGCAGCTGAGTCAGCAAAGACATTTTTACCCTGTCATCTTCTGAAACAAAAGGCACAAAATATCCCACAGTAAGGATTTCTCCCAATATTTCTTTCATTTGTTCCTTCTGTGCTTTCTGTCTTCAGGCTTCCTTAAAAATGTAATTCCTATTTCTGTCACAGCATCACCCTTCAGCCTGTCCTGCAGGAAGGAAACTTCTGCTGCTAAGTGAACCTGGAAAGAATTAGGTCTGATCAGTTAAGCAAAGAAATGCCCAGTTTTCCACCCTCCTCCAGTATAATGAGCTTTTTCTCTCTCTCTTACCACAAGAGGACCCCCTTTCTCAGGTTTCATAGGAAACAGATATCTAGATTGTTTTAAAATAGCTCCCAACTACGCTAATACAAAGGAAGTTTATAGACACTGGAATTTAAAGAGCATATTACCCCTCTCCCAGTGCTTCTGAGACCCTAATTTGCATACTTGATGATTTTGTGATCACAGAATTTCCTGGTCATGTACTAAGACTTATGATATAATACTTTTGTTAATCAGTCTTGTGTCAGATACTATAATTCTGAGACTGATGTATGTACATAACACCACAGGGTTGAGTTTTTTGTCTCTTGAAATATAAGATACATGCTAAATTTGATATTGACAAAAACATAAAGGAGCCCAAAAGTAATCTCCCTGAAGAAGCTCTACAGGTCAGAAATTTTCAAATTATGCCCTTTATTTCTTTCTTTGCAAAGACCTTAAATTTAAGAACAAAATTTGGATTGCTATCTGATACATTTCTGATGCTTTGGTTTTAACATTATACTCATCCACATTTTGTTCTCTCTTTCAGCAGGAACCGCAGTAACCTGAGAATATTATTTATCTTGACACATTTGGAAAGAATCAGGGATGACTATTACTGGCTACAGCTGTGCAGGGAAGTGTGATAGGCTCCAGGAACAGTGGAGGAACACAACATGCCCCTCTGTCCCTCCACTTTGTTACCTGGCTTCCTGATCCCACCTGGCTTTTGCACCCAAGTCAGCCACTGAACAGACTGAACAGTCAGGCAGGGACAATGTGGAGGTGAGATAATCTATGTGCTTCTCTACCTAAGGATCCAGGATCATCTTTGTCCTCTTTTATCTAGATATAGACATTTAACCCGAGAGGTTAAACAATACTGTATTTCCTGCTTTTATCTGAACAAGTGATTTTGTTTTCCTGTGCTTCTGTGAATTAACAAAGAATGGAGAAAACAGATGTGCACTTCCTTACCATTTCCAAGGCACCTCGAATCACCCCACAGAGGAGGTTACAATAGCAAAGCGATGCTCGTTCCGCTGGCAGCTCCTCCACAAAGTCCACTAGTGGATTTTTGTCCAGGATTAAGGAGAATTCATTTCCTGTGGCACTATTGCAACTCACACTCGGGGTGACCCCAAGGTACATCTTGAAAGCAACCTGCAAAAGAATGAAACTGCTGCTTAAATGTGTTGCGTGCAAACCAGAGGTGAAACTTTAGACAGAAGCATCCTGTAGACAAATTTTACCCCAGGAAATAAAGGGGGAGAGCCAGACAGGCTAGAAATCAAAGCACATTTGTCTCTTTTATGATCAACTTGAGCTAGCAATGCAAATCTAGAGCTATGTGATGCCCCAGGAAAACACAGCAGAGAGCTGTTCTTCTTTGAAGTTCCTACATTTACACCCCCACACAAAGTGGTTTTACTGTTATCACTCGTCTGCTTTCAGTCATGTCATAGTCCCTTGGGACCATTAGCATCTATATTAGGTCATTCACTACGTCACCAGCAACTTTTATTATCACAGCTCAAGATCTCCCACAACTCTGATCTCTCCATCTGCAGTCACTTCAAAAACCAAACAGCCCACAAGACTTCCAAGACTGAAAACTTAGTTGGTTACACAGAGTGCTGCTTGCTTTCTTTCCCCTGCCGGTGGATGCTACTGGGAATGTGCCACATCTGCCGTGCCAGCAGCGGGTCCCCTGCGAGCGCGGGTTGCGGCGGTGACATCACGGCGTTATCCCGGCAGGGCGTGGGCAGGCGGGCGGGAGAGCGCCGGGCTGCGATCCTCGGGAGCGCTCTGCCCCGCCGCACGCCGCTGCCGAGGCAGGGAAACCGGCTCGATTGTCACCTCCTTAGTGAGTACCAGAGATGGATGCGTTCCAAACAATCCTGAAATTCTTTATGAACCGGAAAACCGCTATAGGTTACAGTTTTATGGCGCTGCTGACAATGGGAGGTGAACGTGTGTTTTCTCTTGTTGCTTTCAGATGCCCTTGCAGCAATGAAAACTTCAGGTACGGTTTGGTCTTTCTCTTCTCTCCAGCTCTTGTTTTGCTGGTTATTGGATACTTCTTGAATAGCAAGACCTGGAAACTCTTTACAGGCTGCTGGGTGAATCCCAGGAAAATATTCCCCAGAGGGAATATCTGCCATTTCTTTTACGTCTTTGGACAAATCACTTTAAATGCTCTGGTAGCCCCAGTGATGTGGCTTTCCGTGGCTTTGCTCAACGGGACTTTTTACGAATGTGCCATGAGTGGCTTGAAAAATCCTGCCTACTTACAAGCAGTTTGCCACAGCAAATCGGAGAACTGCATCGAAGAGCTACACAAGATCGCCTGTGACAAAAGCTCCCTGCCCTTTTCAGAGAGTGATGAACTGAAAAGAACACTTCAAGCACAGTCCCAGGTAAGAAAAATCATAAACAAAGAGCATTATCCAGGTTGTACTGGTGCTGGGATTTATCTGTGGAAGATCCTGATGTCAGAAGTTTTCTTAAAACTGTTGGCTTCATATAAACAATGTTTTGGCAGCCTTGCAAAATACAATCAATCCATCTTTTGTTTCAGTTTGAGCTGTTCCATATTTCTTAGAGCTCCTCACTGGTGGCGGGGTCAATAAGACCAGAAAACGTAAAGCTTTCTTCGTAAATCGAGATTGCTCTAAGGAGGAAAAAAAAAAAAAAAAAAAAAAAAAAAAAA